GTTCATTCATTACAACAACATTGATATTGTGTTTGTGCCCTTATAGAAATAACTTTAGGTTGTATGTGAGGTGGGCGTAGTATTCAAAATAAATACTATGGGTGGCTATCTGTCAACACAAACATCAGTCTTAAAACGAACTGTGCAGATTCATCAAATATAACTAGTGTGGTTAGGTGTTAGGACAGGAAGTGGACCCAAGAAAAAAAAAATACAATTATGCACCAGACGTTTAGTTAACTTTTAACTAACTTTGTTTCTTTCTTGTTCCGTATTCCAATCACTTTATTCCTGGGAAGTGAGTGACGAGCCATCCTGCCAAGTCAAGTACTTATTTCACAAACAAGATATTTGGAAATTGAAAGAACAAAGTTGCATCCTTGTCTCGCCTGAATCGAATTAGGGAGAAGAAATTTCATCTCAAGACTTGCAAAAGACGCAAATAGCTTCCTGCAAAAACTCAATTCAGACTTTGATGAGGATACAGCGCTCAGGAAATCGGGAAATCTGGTTTTGACAACTATAGAATCTAGGTTGTCTGGGGGTAACATGAGGGTCCTTGGTCTCTTCATGCTGCTATAATACATAAAACAAAGAATATGTGTTCTTGTAATAAATGAAGAAATGCGTGTGCTCCTGTAATAAATAAAAAAGTGCGTGTGCTCCTGTAATAAAAATAAAAAGTGCTTGTGCTCCTGTAATAAATAAAAAAGTGCGTATGCTCCTGTAATAAATAAAAAAGTGCGTGTGCTCCTGTAATACATAAAAAGGGAGTTTGTCATGATACAGTGACAGTGTGCGCGGCTGGGATCCACTGCAGGAGCCCTAAGCTAGATAGTGGGTTCGATTCCGAGGTGAGGAAAGGCATTTATTTGGGCTAACGGTGTCTTATTGCCAAATCGCCTTCGAGGGAGGTCTTGACGTAAGACAGGATCAGTTCTTATAATCAAAACGCCCCCATTTTCTTCGCAGACTAGAATAACTTTTTTGGGGGGGACATAAAGAGGAAAATAAGCAACTCGAATGATATTCTGCAAGGCCTTTCCTGGCTATCGTTTTCATTCTGGTAAAAGGAAGAAAGAATATTATATAAAGAAAAGTTTATTTAGGTCGAAAATTATTCTGATACAAGGTGTGGTAAAAGAAATTGGTAAGAAAATAGCCTTTAGACAAAAAAAAACATTCTTGTCAAGAATTCGGTTTAGAAAATAATTCGTCATTAATGGTGTAAAATAAAAGCTTTAGAAAACACCGTAAAGTTACTATGAAAAAGAAAGAAAGAAAGAAAAAATATGCTTCCTGAAAATTTGTTACAAAATTTCAGATAATACAGTTTAGTGAAATATAAGACCACATTCTGGTCAGAGATAACTTTACACAAACTGCTACATCAACATAGTACAAATTACAATATCATTACAAGAAAAAATATAATGTATTCTAGCCGCCCACTGCTCGGCATCGAATCCGACCCGAATCTCTTGATAAACCGAAGAATATCCCATGAGCTTCTCTCTTTCTAATATAGAAGACCCTCGCTAAAAATACACGAAGAACATGATACGAGCATGGAGGTATTTCCGAAGCCACCCGGCCTCTGACAACGAGGATAATCTAAAAAAAAAAAAAGGAAGACACAAAGAAAAAAAAATCTTGGAAGGATGACGATCAGCTGTTAAGTCTAAGAAATCGTCAATGAGAGCATCTTCGCTGTTATAAACATTTTAAATCACTTTCTTAGTTATACTATTCGCCATCTAAAAGTTATTACATTTTATCGTAAACTAACATTAAAATAAATCAATAGATAAAAACAAGAATCACAATAGGCTCTGATAACATTCAAAATCCAACAACAACGACAACACAATTAACCGTCTATCACAAACCATCCCAAAGTTATAAACACCGGTAAGTTGGTTATGAGACGCTTGGTGAAAATAACGGCAAATACAGCGCTGTGCTCCAGAGCCCTATGGCGCGCACAACATATCCTTCCTTGTCTTAAGAGGGATAGCTTGCTTGTTCCTGGGGGAGAGGGAGGGAGGGAGAAAGAGAGGAAGGGGGAAGAGGGAAAGAGAGAAGAGGACAGGTGGAGGAAGGGGGAAGAGGGAAAGAGAGAAGAGGACAGGTGGAGGGAGAAAGAGAGGAAGGGGGAAGAGGGAGAGAGAGAAGACGACAGAGTGAGGGAGGAAGAGAGGAAGGAGGAAGAGGAAGAGAGAGAAAAGGACAGAGTGAGAGAGGAAGAGAGGAAGGGGGAAGAGGGAGAGAGAGAAGAAAATAGAGTGAGGGAGGAAGAGAGGAAGGAGGAAGAGGAAGAGAGAGAAGAGGACAGAGTGAGAGAGGAAGAGAGGAAGGGGGAAGAGGGAGAGAGAGAAGAAAATAGAGTGAGGGAGGAAGAGAGGAAGGAGGAAGAGGAAGAGAGAGAAGAGGACAGAGTGAGAGAGGAAGAGAGGAAGGGGGAAGAGGGAGAGAGAGAAGAAAATAGAGTGAGGGAGGGAGAGAGGAACGAGGAAGAGGGAAAGAGAGAAGAGGACAGGCGGAGGGAGGGAGAGAGGAAGGAAGAAGAGGGAGAGAGAGAAGAGGACAGAGGGAGGGAGAGACGAAGGAGGAAGAGAGGGGGAGAGAGGTGGACAGAGGGAGGCAGGGAGAGAGGAAGGAAGAGACAAAAAGGAGAGAGGAAGAAGAAGAAGAAGGGGGAAAGTGGACAGAGGAGAGAGAGAGAGGCGGTGGATGAGAAAGGGAGAGAAAGAGAGGGGAAAAGAGAAAGGGAGA